ACTTCCGTTCCATCAATACTGAGTGGGCTGTGAGTGTGTGGCCTGTGTCTCCGAAAGTCCACTATTAGCTCTTTCATTTTCTTTATGTTCAAGTCCAGGTTATTGCTATGAGACCACCTAAGCAGCTGTACAACTTCATCCCTGTAAGTGGATTCTGCAGCTGCGGTAACTGCTCCCAAATCAATTGCTCACTCACAACTAATCAAAAAGTCTTTATGGTTTCCCTTGTTTGTAATCAGTGTTACTAATAATAACCTATCCAGTGAGCCAGTACCTAAGAACATAATAAAGGTAAGAACATTTACACAGGAACAAGTTAAGGTTTATTCCATGCTGAAAACAGAAGAAACACAACATTCTGGCTGTGGAGCCTTTCTTTTCTTCTCTTTTCAGCATTGAATAAACCTTTACGTGTTCCTTTGCAGTCGGGCATGTTGATGCAGTTACCTACTTGAACCTTTGTACATGCTTTTAATATGCCTTTTCACCCATTGCGGCTGCTAGTACTGCAGCTACAGTTGCTAGCTGACCCCGAGCCTCACCTCAGGATGATTCCATGTCCCATGGCAGCAGTGCGGAGCTGATGCAGCACAACGGCGATGTCCAGAGCAATGATCTTTCCTGAGAGAAGACAGACAGAACTACTCACCGCAGATTAACACAGCACCCTCTCCCCCATCAGCAGAGAAGCTGTTAGAATGTTTCAGGGAATCTGACCGACTGCACAGAAGTCAAGTGATAACAAATGAAAATGCCTTGCAATATGAAACAATACAGGGAAGGCATTTAATTGTGCAAAACATCCTATGTGTCTTTATATATTGCATAGCCAGCAAACAACCAAGAGTACACATTGCTACTGGAGCCTGCACTCACTGCTGGTCAATACACTGTCTCTTCACACTAAGTGGAGGCCATGACCATGTACAGATCCCAGGGTACACTGGGGTTGACCGATTGGCGTGACTTATCAGTTACTCATCTGGTTATTGTTTATTGCCATTACTGTTGAGCTGGTCCCAGCTGCTGTCTGTGTCCACATTTTGTGTCATGTGTCTGTTAACCTAATGTGGGAGTGGGCACATTTGCGAAGGTACTGAGTTCCTTGTCTTCAATTGTCCGTTCACTAAGGACCATAAAATACATTTCCTTATCTGATTTTGACAAGGAGTCATACAGTATGTACTGTATCTCTGTTGCCCCCTCCTGTGTATGATACACAGTCATATCTGTTTAAGAACTTTAAAAACTATATCCGGTTTTATTCTTTAATTAGCTGTAGCTGATCACTGGACGTCACTTCAGATTCTTACTCCACTTTAGTAGCTATACAAGTGAATCGGAAGACATTGTGAAACAAACAGAGCCTCATGCATTTGGAATTGGATGAAACTGCCACATACCCTTAAGCAAATGCACAAATGTACTAATATAACAATACAAAGCAATTTACTTTGTCATCACCTCCAAGATAAAAGTTTAAAATGTAAAAGGCTTTGAATTTGCTTTTGAAATTTGGAACTTGATGTTACAATTTAAAAACAAACTTGTTCAGACATGCTGTAAAACTACATGCAAAGGAAAAAAAACATGCTTTTCTCTAGCCAGAGTTGTGGAGACGTGGTTGGAGCTCTGCTGCTTAATACAGAGATTGGTGATTCAAATCATGCTCAATGGAAATCACACTGTTTTTTTAGGAAATATAATGGTGACTTTAAAATTAGTAATACATATGTAAAAAAACGTATTATAATGTTTATTACCACCCCGATCTGGAAACGCCAACGGGATGTTTTCACGTCTAGTCTCAAATCTACAGTCTTCGCACCCTCACACATGGGCGAATGAGGAAGCAGAGGAAGCCTTTAGTTTTTGAACACGTCGCAAGCAACATAACCCGGTACCTTGTGTACTGTTTCGTTAGAGAGGCGTGCGGGTGACCCGGAGACTGTAGAGGTCGAAGTGTAGCTCTGATTTGTCGGTCAACCAGATCTCGACCCCTCAGCAATATTCAGCCATTGTGCGCTTCGGCGTGTTGAATCCCAGGTCACAAGGGGTCAGAGACTCAACCCAGGCTAAACCTGTGATCCAGCTGCTATCCGGAGCCAACCACAAGGCACTTCTATGGTTTTTATACAATTTCCACAAGTGTTCTGTAAATTAATATAATTATTACCTGTGACAGTGCACCTCCATTGCTCCTCAGTGTGACAACAAATAGTTCAGATTAAATAGTTATTTCGTAGGTTTCGGAGATAACCCATATTCATCCCAGAGGAAACAACAATAATCGGGAAACTTCTAATCGAGAAAGGCATCTACAGTATGCCTCAGCCCAGAGAAGGGCGAGAAGCAGTACTGGACTGACATCTGCTCTAGTCAGAATTATTAAACGACAATTAAAATTGAAATACTGTCAATGAAACACTTCGCGGTTTGCGTGGTTCACTGGAAAATGTCTGTTTTTCTGTGCATTATTTATGTTTAATTATTGTGCTCTTCACTGACGCTGGTTGTACTGTACTGTTAAGGCAACGAGACAGAAAAAATAACCGTGCTCGACCATCTCGAAAGGAAATGGTAAATTAAGGGAACACTACTGTGTAGTGTGATTCTTATTATTTGATTGATGGTTATTCCTAAACTGCCGTTTACATAAAGACACGTCAAATAAATTCACGGTACTGTATCTTTAATGCAAATCCCTTTACCGTCTTCCCCACCAGTCCCACACAATATCTTGGAAAAATGCATCTGCGCCGGCGTGCGGTTACACGGGGTAAATAAAAGTATTAAAGAGAAAATGTTGCTGTCACTGCGTATTCTTGGAACCACCACAGAGTATTATTATCAGTCTAATGCAAACAAGATGTGGATACCCTTAAATGATTATTTGCAATATAAAATAACCCTGCACTTGCATTAATATTGTGCAATTTTGCACCCCAATTGCATATTCAAGTACACCAATAATTCCCTCAATTTCCATTCGATTTACCAAATCCAAACGGTTATTTATATTTTACGGCGCTTTATGCATGAAATACTGAAATGGCAGCTATGTGCAGTTCATTATTTTTTTCTTTCTGATACCAAAATATTTTTTTTTCTATAACACGCTGGAGGTCTTTCGAATTCTTTGTCCCCGCAGCAACGGCCATCCGCGTTGTCACAGAAACCGCAGAGCTGGGAGGGCGGTAACCACTTCCCTACTAACCTGCATAGTCGCTTATCAGTTTGTAAGACACGGCGTCTGGCGCTTCATTGCGTATTAATTCGGCTAGTTTGATAATCCCCATCGTTAAAATCACTCGGTAACCACTTAAACTATTGATCGAATAGTACTGGTTCAGGAAACAACTAAAACTAGTCTTTTCCTGTCAGATGGATCCGGTTTATACTGCTGGCGGATTATTTGAAATTTCTGTATTAGTAGCCCGAAACCTGTACAGTATGAATTTGAGAATTATAATTTTGGCTTGCTATCGCTTTTGACTATCTTATTTGCCTTGAAATGCAAAGTTACGGTAGAAAAATCATCGCCGCCGTTATTTAATAGTGAATAGATGGTGCGAGAATTAAAAAATAGAAACAATATGATAAAAAGAGTGAGAAAACACATCTTAAAATATAGCCCCGAATCATTAAAATCAGGTCTCAAAATATTAAATCCCAATAAAGGAAGCAGGCAAAGCTATTCTGTACGTTGAAGTTTCGATCTTTTCCAAAATTAAAACACACCAATAATAACGTTTTATCTTATACAATAGCTATTCTAAATAAGCACGATTTAGTTATATGTTTTCAGCGTATGTACTTACCAGCCGATTAATCTTAATTATTAGGCCTATTGCAAACAGGAAGGTTTATTTTCACACCTGATAATTTTTCGTTTTTTTAGTTAGGCGTATTGATCATTTAGTAATAAAACATTTTTCAACTGCCATTAGTGGCGAGCCTGTCATCGCTCTAAAACAAGCTACTAGTGTAGAAACATGTTTATGGAAATTATCATTAACATTTTGCCAACGAGGAATTACAATTTCTCCAAAGGAAGTTTACCTTTGAAGCATTATGAATGTTGATTATTGTCTTGTCTTGTGATATTGAAATCTTAAATTGCCCCCCCTGGGGATGAATAAAGTATTTTGAATTGAACGAATTTTCATCTGATGTATTCCAGATTTTCAGCTATAGGAAATGGATCATCTTTAAAATTCGATAAATCAAATCCGTTCTAGGGATTTCTGAGACAAAATAATATTAACAATGACAACAATCCTTTTCTTCTGCATTTTGAGGTGGTTTTATGGTGACGCGTTTTTGTTTTTGTAATAAAAGAATCACTTATAGTTACTAAACTTAAACCATCTTTACAATTTACGCTTGGGTATAACCAGTAGCCACGGAACTGCTCAAAGAATTCTTTACTGCATTAATTATCTGCATACACCATAAAGTTATTAGCTGCATACTGTAGGTAATAGACCCATTGGCGATAACGAGTCTCCTAGACGATCTGAGTAATATACCATCACAACATGCTTTATTCTTGCCATACATATTGTACTAGTAACCAAAATCGTCTCCTTAGATAACCTCAGATGGTTATTGACACACAGAATTCGCAAAGAACAATACAACTGTTACATTATATAATCATATAACCTAAATACTTTCCCGTCAGAAAATGTGAACCATTTTCCTGGTAAGATTAAAAAAGGAGAAAAATGAAGAGTCAAATAATCGAATATGTTGTAAATTTGGAAACAATACAATGAATTTAATTTAATACTGAATAAGGACTGCAAAATGTGAGACAGCCGAATGGAATAGGACGAGTAACAACGAAAAATAAAACTACTACCCTTACTTTTGTTGCATTTTAAATTGGTCATTCCTATATCGCACGTTTCGTTGGGTTACACGTTGTCTTCTTTAAAATCAAAATGTAGGAAACAGGACCGTCGTACAGAAGTACTGTAGTAAACTCTTATAGATACTGTACATTACGTGAAGAGCAAAACAGTAAAATTAGTTCAAACAACGCAATTTTCGCTGGGACCATCAGAACGAGATGTAGTCTTTCACCCCTAACAGGCTCCCCCTGCAGAAATCACAACTGTACTCGCTACTCTGAGATCCTCGCCAGCATAAAGTTAAACACAGATCATACAGTATGTAGTTCGTAGATCACACATTAGCGTCCTGTACGAAGCTGTTCTCTGTATCCGAAAAACAATACAATGATTTTTGTGCCTCGCGAGTCGTCACCTAGTAAGACAGTGGTTAGTAACTCCAGGTTTTGCTACAAACGAAGGTTACCTGTTATAAATAAACTTAACCTTTGTTACACGGCTAAAGAGCTGCTTGGAACAATGCGTTGCCTAATTGTTTTATTCCAAATAAAAAGAATCTGCAAGTGCACTAAACTCATAAACTTGTTTCAAACGCGAGCAATGCCGATGTACTGTGGGGGTTATACACGTTTCCCGCAGGGAGATCGGTAACTGAAACTAATACAATGTATCAGACCAAAACTTCTCGTCTACAAACTGAGCTGCGACTGGTGTAGCATTTCAAGAAGATGCAACTGCACTCGATTTGAGCAACGTTTGCCAGTCACAGCTGCATCACGTGGCTGGGGTGGTACTTCAGCTTTCTAGGCCCCGGATATTTGTGAGCAAGCCTCCTATAGCACCGCTGCCCTCGGCTCCTCCTTGTTCCGAGTAGTGAAGCGGATGGAGTAGCGAATCACAGCCTCGTCCCCGGCCGAATGTGCCCTATGTCCGTGTGACCGCAGCGCCGCTCTCGCTAGTGAGATCCGCTTCAGCATCCAGACTGCAGTACATGTGTACGGTACAGTTTATGTGAAACAGTTGGTAACTAAGTACCTTGTTTCCTTACTAAGGTAATGCACGTTGTGGGTCTTTGACATCGCCCTTCGATCATAAATCACGCATTAATTCACATATCGTTTACCTCTTTATCGTATGAAAATAATGGAGATTATTAGGGGGAGGTTAAGAGTTGGCGTCAGGCAAAGCCTTAGGAACTCCTGCTTTATGGTGTCTGCGCCACTTAACGAGCGAGAGAGTTTTCTGACTTTATCTTCACCTAATCTGATAATAACTGCGTCTCTCGTGATTCTTTTTTGCTGAACATTTTAAGAGACCAATCATAGGTTTCCGAATGTTGTAAAAAGCTTTATGTTAATACTGGAAATCTGAAATAACCATTATTCTGTGATCGTTGGTTTCAGTGCAAATCAAGTGTTTTTTAATCGCGTTTTTAAGTAATTTGAAACTCACCCCTTGTTGTTTTTAAATAAAATATGCTTGCGTAGATCAATCAAACTGGCTATACCAGAGAGACAATGTGGGGAACCTTACAGACATATCACAAAATCTACTACAGATAGATAACTATCTTTATAGCTTTAGAAGGTTTTTAACTTTATCAGAGACAGTAGCTTCTTAATGTAATGCTGCACTTTAAAAGTAATAGTCCTTCCCTTAAAACACGTTTAAACTTGGCAATTTTTGCTTAAACAGGGGAAGGAACCTTTGAAAACTTGTGAATTGCAGGATGGGGTTCCTTATTTTTTCATATATTTTCAGTCTCCTCTAATGAAAGAATAATGTTTTCTGACAATGCGATACATACACCTGTTACAGGCCAGGCTGTCATTGTTTATTGATCCAGGCCATAAACAATAGATCATTGTTTATGGCCTGGAGCTCACAGAAGCAGTGAGCTGGGTGTACTGTATGTTGGGCATCACCCTAGGTGTAGGAGTCTGATGGCCGAGAGTCCAGTCCAGTGGATCATCAGCATCTCAAATCTGATCCTGTTTCTCTCCTCATTGTACTCGGCTCGCCAGCTTGTAAAGGTAACTTTGGGCATTTTTGATTCAGGTAGATAGCTGCGTCAGCATGCATAGGCTGCAAAGGAACAAGTAAAAGTTTATTCCATGCCGAAAAGAGAAGAAAAGAAACACAACGTTTTGGCTGTGGAGTCTTTCTTGGGTTCTTCTTCATTTTTTTGTTCAGTTTGATGTTTTATGAACCAGAATTGGCCAGAATAAAAACCTTGCAGACCCTGATTTCAATGTATTTTAATGCATTTAGTGTCCGCAACAGTTGTAGCAAAATATAAAAACATAAGATTACCACTGAAAGGACTCCAGTCACGCATCTAGCTTGTTGAATCCTTTTGAACATCAGCTTTGATACTGAGGTTGGGGAGTTTATTTCAGACTCCCATGATAGGGTACTGTGTATCACCAGTGACAGGAAGATTTTGAGGCTGAAGCAACAAACCCAATGCCGTTAAGGATATTAAAACACATGGTAATGTGCGCAAATTATTGCTGTAATGAAATTAATTGCCTATTAGATATGTATCACTTTTCTGGCTATCCTGTCTGCAGGTCCAAGTTTAATGTTGGTTCATTGTAGTTGATTCTTCAATATATTAGTTAAATATTACTGACAAACGGTAATTTGTCAGAGTGGGTGGAACGGTGGCTCTGTGGCTCTGTGGCTAGGGATCTGCGCCAGTGGCTGGAAGGTTGCCGGTTCAAATCCCACAGCCGGCAGAGGAATCCTATTCCGTTGGGCTCCTGAGCAAGGCCCTTAACACCAACTGCTCCAGGGGCGGTGTACAATGACAGACCCTGTGCTCTGATTGTTTGTGTGTCTCATGGAGCTGGGGTATGCGAAAAGACAATTCCTAATGCAAGAAATTGTAAAGGGTTAATAAAGTGATGTTGTTATTATTATTAATAGGTAAGCAGCCAATGGTTATACATTTTTTAGGTGCTAGCATGTCACTCATCATAAATAATACGTGACTTGGAGGGGTTGCTTTTCTTTTTATAAAAAAAAGGATTGGACCCGAACCCCCTCAAGGAAAATATGTGAATCTGGTTTGTGCGCTACTCTGACTCCGAGTCTCAAATGGCAAAGACCATTCATAGATTTCCGGATGTTGTAAAAATCTGATGTTAATACTGGAAATCTGCAATAGCCATTATTCTGTGATCATTAGCTTCAGTGCAGATCTAGCTCTCTTTTACTCAAGACACTTTCACTTTCTCCTTCTGTAGGACCACAGAGCACCTGCACTAGGATTTTTCCTGCTGGCGTCCTGCGCTGCAGTGGGGGTCCTACCCGCCTCCAGTCCAGCCTTAGAGGCATTTCGGTGGGAGGCAGCGTGGGCCAGCTGGGTGCTGTCACCAGCGCTGGTAACCTTTGGGTTCCTGTGGCTCAGCGAGGATCGCTCCACGGCCTACACTCTGCTGGGGGGAGCCACCCTGCTCACGGCACTCTGTGATTGGCTGTCCGAAGAGGGCGTGGCAGTGATGTCACGCTGTGTGGCTTTATCTTCACTGGCATGTTCGCTCACTGTCTGTCTCTTCACCACAAACCATGCTGGGGCACTTGGGAGTCTGGCCCTGAGCCTGCCTGCCTTGTTGACCCCTGGGGTCAGAGGTCAGGCTCTCATTCCACTGATTACAGTTGAAGCCTCAGAGGTTATCCTGAACAGCCTGATGTCACTGGGGAGCTTTGCAACAGAGAGAGCTCTGTGCAAGTACCTACAGGAGCTCAAGGGCCAGAGTTGAAATAGTACTACATTAGGGTGGTGGACCATGGAGTAAGGGCTGATGTTCGTTTTCAATGTCTTGACAGAAGTATGAAGCCACCCCTATACTAATTTATACTAGTATAGTACTGTATATAATACCCTTGGTACCTAGGTTTATAAACGCAGATGTCTTAAGCTTGAGAGCAGCCTGTCACATTGAGCTGCAATTGTAGGACTGAAGGTACATTCCACATCCCTAAGTTGTCAGCTTGGAAAGGGAAATTGATTCAACGATGATTTTTCATTCTGGTATCCATAATTGTGGAGCCAGCACAACATCATCTTGAAAAACTAGCAAGAAAGGAAGAATCTTCTGGCTAACCCCAAGCAATTCTATTGCAAAGCTGTCTCATCAAAAGCTATTCTAGTGTTCAAAACAAAATCATATCTCCAAGCATCTTAACAGCATGTCTCTCACATTTGTGACATTTTATCCTATTGATAGCATATTAGGCATATTAGGCAATGATGGCATAGAATATTGAAGCCTGATAGTACTGTCATACAAACATATGTAAAATTGAAATGAGGTTAGGTTCAGGCAATTGGAAATCCAATTAAATCCAGTTTTTCAAAAATCTAGTTTTGAAAGCTGTTGGTTTTTGTCTGTTGTTTAAGTTAAGAAAAGAATTTTCCTGCATGTCACCTTCTTGAAGGTTTTGCGCAGTGTCACTTGTAGTGGTCTTCAATAAAAGATAGAACCTTTAGGCGTAATGTTCTTACCAGATTAATTTTCCTGAACAAGGGATTTTATTAGTGACATTATAGATGGTGACATTGGACATGGACATGAGATTACCAGCAAGTCAGATGTTGGTCTGGACTCTTCAACACACAACTTTTCAGTCTGTTTCTGTTGATTGTGCCTTCCAAATCAAATTTCCAAAAACCTTGTCCTTTCTTGCAAACTGCCCCTGTGAAGGGTAATTATGGGTACATGGTCATTAATTCAGTAGTCTGTAGTATACACACCTCCTCTAGTGTCTGTCTTTTTTATTTTGATTTCTACATACTGTAGGTTATTAATGCCAGTTACTTAAGATGCCAAAAGCTGTTTACAGCCACCTACAGTAAGTAGAATGTATACACTTGGAAAGTGAAAAATACAATGTCCGAAAATGGGGAAAATCTATTGTCATGTTTAATTATTAATTTATTTAACTTATACTCTTTCCTAAAGTAACTTGCATTGGTGCCATTTTATAATGCTAGGTACTTTATATTGTACAAAGGTATAACAGTAGTGTCCTACTTTTATTATAATCCACAACCTTCCCTGCAGGAGATTAGAGTCCTAACCCCTACTCCTCCATACGGCTTTCTGTTGAAGTGGTCAATTTACCTCTTGCAAAAGGCAATTATCTGTCAGTAACATATTAATACACTCTATATACATTAAAACGTTAAAATGACTCCAGAGTATTTTGTCTTCTTCCTCGTGCCTTTGTCATGAACCCACTTACCAAACAAATTTGCTGTTTTCCCATAGTAATGAGTGGAGTGACCACTGTATGTTCAGCATCCACAGTGAGTCTGGTTAAACACTTTGACATGGCAATACTTCGGTTTTTAAAGATAGTATAATTAGAAGTGTGCATACTGTATCTGATGCAGCAGAATGTTTCCTCAGAAAGCCATGACTGGGTTAAGAAGCAATACAGCAATTATGCAGTACTAGTTAATCTTATTGTAACAGCATTTAGGACTCTGACATGTTAAGCGAGTCTTAATAAATTCTGTATTTCAGTCATTCTGGTACTGTTCTGTTTTAGGAGGAGATTGTGTGTCGTTGTATAGAGAATTTTACTCTCATGGCAAGTAAATATATTTCATGTTTCTCTCAGAAAAGGTTTCTCACAATGTTAATAAAATAGTTTGTTTCTGATAGGGAGGTCATGTGTTATTTCTGACCCAAGAAAACCATCCTGGTTATCTTTTTAAATGTTTTAGTAACAACAGAGTTTAAATTATTTTTAATGTTTTTTTTTTCCTTTTAACTTTTGTTTTAAAAGCAGAGATTTTACCTGCACTGCTTATGCTGTTTGTGCTGAAAAAAAGGCTGAAAATCAAATTGGACACATTTATTATGTGTCAGATTTAATTTTTATAAAATTAATGGAACAGTATGAAAAGAGGAGACTATACCTTTCCATTTTATCGATGCATGGTTGAAGGTTTATGCTCCAGTGATATGGTGTAGCAGCTATATGCATTCCTCTATTGTTTATCCTAAACAATACCACATTAGGTGGAACATGAGTAATGAAGTCACAAAATGCAAGAAATTTACAAATAAAATGTGTCTTTCCTACTACCGTTTTTTGGAAATTTATTAACTGAATGTGCACTAAATATAACTGCTTGAATTGTGCTCTAAACAGATATTTTAATCCAGGACCTAAGAGAAAGCAATGCTGACTGCCTCACTGATACGACATCACTGAATTCAGAAATACATCCTCAATTTAAATGTTTGAAAATACCTTCTAACATACACATCTTGTGTTGTCCATTACAATAAAGGCTTCAGTATTTGCCTTACAGAGCAGAGATTGTTGTTGTTTCTCATCCTAATAAAGTATTTCATTTCTCAGACTGTGTTTTTAGTGTTGATTGAGTTATTAAGGTATATTCCTCCCAGTAAAAAAAAACATAAATTGATTATCTTCTTCTTAGAATTTGCCTTTGACTGATTTTCTGGTTTAGGAATTATGTTACTGGTGTTGCCATAGAGAGATGAAGCCTTATCAATATCCATTGGTTCTCATCAGCCATTAGGCTACAGGATGAGAGGCTGTGCTCACTGAGCATGCTCCTGACGACTGCAGCCTTCACAGAGAGTGTGGAATGAGGGAGGGGGGCAGTCTCACTGTAAGGGCCAGACTGTACTGGAACACAGAGCAGCCTGCTGCTGCAACTGGGGCTGATCTCCATCTCAGGACACAGCCAAAACCTGAAGGAATGTGAGTGCAGAGTCGCCCACAGGGCAGTGAAGAGACTGATGAAGGAGGCTTAATTTGAAACTGGGTATGGGAAACAATGTGCGACAGAAGGAGAAAGGGCTGAGGGACTGATCGAGCGAGAAGAAAGGATCAGATTGATTTTTACTGGAGATGAAGCAAGGATCTGGAAGATCATTCATCTGTTACATTGAAATTGCCAATGTCAGAATGAAAAGCTTGTTATTGTCTCCATTGTATGAGAAGGGGATCACAAGCTCCAGTCAGGGCATAAAGGTTTATGTGCCTTTCTTGAACAGTATTAGAAGGCTGGTTGAGTTTAGTGCCACTGTGTTTTACTCACTGTGTCCTGTATATTCTCTCAGCGCGCTGCAAGGAATATAGACCTTATTTAACCGTGAGGTCTGACTTATTTAATTCCTGCAGTGAGTTCAAGTCCGGGTCTGGAGATGTATGCTTTTTACTCCCTGCTCGTCTATATTTTCTACACCCTCTTCAAGAAGGAGGAGACATCGCAGGAGGAGGCAGGGCCTGTGCTGCAGGGTGGAGTTCCTACACAGGTAAGAGTATTTCTGTTGAATCTGAGAAGATTCCTGCTGGGACATATATGGCCATTCTCTTCACAAGATGGCACTGACCTTCACAGATCCTGTTTAGTTTAGGGAATGTCACTATGTGAACTCTGCCACAGCAAAAGCTGCTGTTTTAAAATAGATTTTTTTTAATAATGTACATTTCACTGGGAAATATACAGTATATTTTTCAGTGAAATAATCATCCACTTGAAATAATTATAACTTTTCCCATGTTACAAGACATAATTTTTACATTATATACTGTACAGTACAATTGTGGGTATTAAAATATAGAAATATTTTGCTGCTCTAAAATCAATTCAGAGGAGAGCAACCAGATACAGGTTGTGGACAAAAAATGGAATCAACAAAGTAGAGTCACTGAATACGGTGTTAGGCCACCCCATGTGACTAGTACAGCCTGTAAGTGCAGTACTACAGAATCTGGAATTCTGTAGGAGGGGTGCAGCACGTTTATTTTGCAAGAAGCCCAAATTAACTCGTCCTTGGTTGATGGAGGTCTTGATAACACTGTCTTAGGCTTCGTTCCAGAATATCACATGAACCCTCTTCTGGGTTCAAGATCTGGTGACTGAGAAGGCTGTAACATATGTATGTCATCAGTGTCAGGCCCATGAAACCATTGGGCAATCACACATACTGTACTTTGTGGATGAAGTGCGGTGTCTTCCTGGAAGACATCACTCCTAGTAGCAAAGAAATGCTTGATTCGTCTAATATTCATCTCACCAAATGTGGAATTCCAAGTGATGAGTGGTTTGTGCACTGCAACCCAACTATATGGAGTTCTCCGCAGACTGTTTTTGCGGAAAATGGCTGTTGCCACCCCAGATTGAAATTTGTAGTTACTTGTTTGGAAGACATTGCTTTCAACATACTGGGTGTCCTCATAAATCCAGATGCTTCTATTTTATTCCACTACCTGTGCATTCTGAAACAGAAGAGGATGTCATACACTGGAAAGCTATCTGATTCTAGGCCATCTGATTCAAGTATTCAAAATCATCAAATGCATTGACAACATTAATCCCATAGATTTTTCCAAAACCAACAACGAAACACACCTAGAGAATGCGAGTGGAAACTACAAGGATTTGTGTTCAAAACCTTTTTACACAAAGAATTGTGGGAGTATGAAACAAGATTTCTAGCCATGATGTTGAAGCCAATGGCTGTATCATGAAAGGAACAAGGGCAAATTAGGTCATTGGATCACTTACCTAATGAGAGTCAACTGAACATGTTCGACAGGCTGCATGGACTGTTTATTTACAATGTTCTTATATTCATAGTGTATTAGGGTCAACTAGGCTCCTCAATGAAGTTTTAAGCCCTTGGGCAGAGTGTCGTCTGCTTTAAGGAGCCATTATAATTTCTGGGATTAATGATTTTTCAATTATTGACAACTTCAATGTGTTACTTCAATCACTGTAGTATGGGGCACAAAAAATAAAACCAATGTGTTCAGTTTTTCCTAATTTCCCACTCCATTCAGTGTCCAGAGTCATTTCAGGGACAGCAGAGCACAGGGAGCAGAGTCAGACTGATTTCCACAAGTCTACACAATAATGCTAGTATTATATTCTAAAGTACACAGACATTATTTGTACTCTTCAATTTGTACTCTGAGGTGAATAGGTGTGTGGATTACGGTTTCTATTATAATAGCACCCCTGATCCTCTGTTGGAATCCTTCTGCTTTCTTTCAGACTCCTCAGGCTGCTGGCAGTGTTTCCATGGAAACAAGGAGCAGGAGAAGAAAAGATGGCGCTGCTCCATGTCTCCAAAAGGAGCGAGGTGCCAGTCTGACAGACTCAGACAGTAGGTGTTCCTTGTGGGAGAGGCTGGTATACTTGGTAGATATGAGCAGGCATGTGCTCTCCCTTCGCGATCACTGTATTGTGATATTGCTTAGAGAGCTGGTATTACTGTGTGAGAGCATTGTCTGTTTAAATATTCAAGGCTACTGTGCACAAGAAATGTAGTATCAGAGTGGAATTGTCTGCTTTCCAAATGCCAGTGGGGAAGGATAATAGATGAATATCTGTGTCAAGCGCTGTGTGATGATCAGTGCTAATCCACTAAACACATCTCTGTTGTTATTAGGCACTTTTAGGTTGTTGTGTTTTTTTTTTTGTATATAGTGTGTCTTTCTATACTCCAAGGCTGCTGATATGACAGGATATGCTAAATCTCATGGAAGGGGGCAAGCAAAGACAAAAGTCTGATTTGTTTTAGAAACAACATGAGGGACAAAGTCCTCTTTCATTTCAATCATAAACCAAAATGATCAGTATGGAGAAATAAATATCAAAGATGCAGCCCTTGAGTGACTTCTCTTTGTAATATCACAGAACCCATGTTTTGCCCTAAGAAATTACTTTTGACTGTAAATGTCTTGACAAGCCTGCTAAGAACTGAATTCTAAGCTCTATTATGTTTTAAACATTTGTATGCCTTGCTCTTTAAGTGGATATTTTTCAAATTTGCTTTGCATTTTAATACTTACGTGTTTACTTATTCATGAGGAAATTATAAACATCTATCACAATTTCAAATAATCATGAGGACCAGAATTTGCGTTGTAGGAAACATGTGTGTTTGTCATATAAAAAAATGTCGAATGCAAACGGAAAACTCTTGACTCAGCATTTGTCATATAAAAAATGTAAAATCCAAATAAACTCAGACCTTAATTAATCTCAATGCAGGGAACCTCAAATCAGTAGGATTTCATCCCTAAAACAAAGTATGCATTTTCTCTATGCAGATTTCTCTGTTTTTTTCCAAACACAACCATTAATCTCACATTAAATTAATAACAATGTTTTTATTGTGTTTCTAAAGACTTGTTTTGAAAGATGTGGAATTATTTAATTTTAATGTACATTTTGGCTCACTCTCTGTTCACTCACTCAGGCCCTGGTTTCTACCCTTTCACAGAAACACCGTTAGGGTGTTTTCTGATGATGAATACAGATGTTCAATTTGTTAGCACAGCTGTACAGCCATGTCTGATGAACAGTTTGTTTGATTTCAGGGTTCAGTGGGAAGGACTGATGGGTTAAAAAGCAGTGTTTTCATTCTTAGGCATTTTTGGGCTTTATCCACCAGTCTGTAGCACTGTTACCTCTGTTATTAAAGAAGCAGATCTGGAAATGTCCCCTTGCCAGTCCCAGCAATGATAAATTCAGTTATCTTCTCTGTGAAGAAATCTTTCATGGTGTAGTCAGTGTAGTTAGCATCATATCTCATGGCTGACTCCTCTCATTTCCTGTCATTTTGTTTTTATAGTAATCCTATGCTCCAGTCCTACTGTGTCTGTTACAGTAGGTCAATTCAATACTGTCCTCTCAAAACAGAAAACAGGAATCGTGTTCTAAGGTAGAAAGTCTTTTAAAGACTTTCAAAGTACATTCCATCTTCTAACTGCACTGATTGACCCTCTCTATCTGGTTATGTAGTGTCTCTCAAATCTTTTCTCTTTCTGATTGTACTGATTGTATCTCCTCTCTTTCTGACTGTTGAAGGTATATTCATGTCTTATTGTTTATCTCTACTTTTGTTCTGTCTTTCCTTTAGCTGTATTTTCTCTCTCTAACTCTGCTGTCTGGAAATGTATTCCCTTTGCAGGCAGCATCTCTGAGAGTGATAGTCTTTCTCTCAGTGAGGAAGAGGAGTGCTGTGACGAAGGCTTCGAGGGCAGCGCAACCTCCCCTCTTGATGCTTTCCTTTGTTTTAGACGGGAATCAGAAGAGAGGAGGGATTCACAGACACAGCATGAGAGGAGCAGCATAACGGTATCCTGCAAGACTCTCCTTTAGACATGAAGCATGAGTGGGATATTTACGTATGTTGAGGAATGTGGTGAATGTGGTTCTAACCACTGTGCCACTCTTACAGATGATCAACAAATTTCAGTTCAAATGATTCATCAGTGATTGCAGCACAGAAGTGAATACAGAAGAAGAGTAAATACAGTGCAGCAGTTAAAACAGTGTCAGTACAATAGCGAGAACAGTAGAACAGTGAATACATTAGAACAGTAAGTAATATAATGCTGCAGATAATACAGAGCAGCAGTGAGTATAGTACAGCAGTGAATACAGTAGAACAGTGTATACAGGGCAGCAGTGAGTATAGTACAGCAGTGAATACAGTAGAACAGTGTATACAGGGCAGCAGTGAGTATAGTACAGCAGTGAATACAGTAGAAGAGTGAATACAGGGCAGCAGTGAGTATAGTACAGCAGTGAATACAGTAGAAGAGTGAATACAGGGCAGCCGTGAGTATAGTACAGCAGTGAATACAGGGCAGCAGTGAGTATAGTACAGCCGTGAATGGTGCTGAAAGTGAGAAGACATGGATCAAACGGCACACCCCGTCTTCTTCCAGGCTGGAGAGTCCCCGCTGCTCACAGTGATGTCCCACCTGCTGAACTTCCTGGAGCAGTACTCCCACATGCAGCGGCTGCAGGAGCGGGCGGAGCAGCACCGCCTGCAGCTGCGGCGCCACAGGGCCCGGCACCGCCGCAGGCTGCGGGCCCTGCGCGCCGCCTACCGCCAGAGGCTGAGAGACCAGGGCAGCGTCATCGGCAGCCTGGAGGGAGCGATCGCCGAGCAGCAGAGCCTCCTGGAGGCCACGCAGCCCAGGGGTGAGCCATCAGACCTCCTCCGGCCTGCCTCAGCAGAGCCCCCTCACAAATAGGGTGTCTGTCCACCTTGTACACCACACATGAGCCTTCTGCGCGGACAGCTGCTCCAGTCTCTCCCTGGCTCTCTACACTATCACTTTACACCGTGCCTGTGCTCGGCATTACATTATCTCTGGGCTAATGCTGCTCTTTGCATTCCGGAGGGCAGTTTATTATTCTAAGTATTATCATCACTGTTACTGTGAGTGTTTGTAGCCCTGTACGCAGTTACAATTCATCATTGGATTGTCCCCATGGAAATGGTTTGAGACGTGTTAATTTAGTGTGTACGGAAGATCAGGCCACAGCCAGAGGGTACCAGATAACACCTGTTAACAAAAGCAGGATTCATATTGATTTTTTTTTAAATATATTTTTGTGGATCACTGCAGATGGAAAAATTGACCTTGTTAAACCCGGCAAACTAACTTTTGAGAAACCTCAAGCGAGTTATAAGCCTAGCACAAATGTACAGTATGTCCTCCAGCTGACGTGGTGTGGGGCTCAGTACCAGTTAATTAAGAGCAAATTCCCATTTACAAGGAGGACACGGAGGCTCGTTTATGCAGCACATAACTTATAAGGGCAATCTGGGTGACGTACCTCTGCTCAGGGGTACAACTGCAGTGCAACTGCACCACTCCAGATTCTGGAGCCCAGGGTATTTATTCACACTGCTGTTCTACAGCTAACTTGGAGGAGATGTTCTAATGACTTTCTTCTTCCAGGAGAAGTGCACAAAGTGTACTCCATATCCAAATAGAGATATAATAATTGAAAAGTTGTTGTAATATATAATACCACTTAAGAGTAACATTCACTGGATTGAATATGTGTGGCAGAGCCTTAAGCCTCAATCCTCAGTGTTGAATCTGGGTTAAATGAACAAGAGTTGCCTCGTGTAGGAAGGCGTTCCTTCAGCCTGATACAGTATGGCTCGGGGTGCTGTTAGGTGATACAAATCACATTTCTCCTTTACAAGCCCAGAAGATAACACCTCCAGGCTTTGGGGATGATGGTGGCTTTTCATCAATAATAAAATCCCAAGTGCTGTGCTTTATGCTGCTAGAGAACTCTAAAGCTAGTGCCTCTATGTCATGAGTATGTGTGCTATAATTAGCCTGTATTCACCAGAGAGTGCTCTCTAATGGGCAGAGTACTGGCTGTGTGACGTTGGAGCTTGTGTTAGCTTATTGCAGTATCTGCAATGCAATGTTCTGGCAGTATCTGCAATTGTATTCTTTACCACACCAAACACCAAAACATTTTTCATCAGTTGAGAAAATTGCATTATACATTTAACCATCTAAAACATGAGAACCTACAACACGTCTGCATTTCTCCTTTTCAGTGCTTCTTTTATATTATTCTAGTATTTGTAGTATCTCATTCTTATTAAAGGAAACAAGTTCAAATTTTTCATAGTTTATATCCAGGTAATCTGTCAGAAAAATTAATCACTATTTGTCCAGTAACAATTTTAAAATAATAATTAACCAGAGTTGTCCTCACAGAAATTGATAAAATTGTATTCTAGCCTAGTAAAAAGAGAAACCATCTTACAGCTTTCTTGGTAGGTCTTAAAAGGTTTCATTCCAGTGAAAAATAGTTGCTCAAAGAGGCCAGTCCCCATTTAACAGAACACCCTGTTTTTTCTGCAGGTAATTTATTGTGGTTATGTACATTATAATTGGAAATACTAGAATACTGAACAAAATGGTTCAATGATTGTCTTATACCATTTAAAACAGTAAGAAAACAGAAACCACAGCCACCAATGATGTGATTTGTAGGATATTTTAGAATTCATATGTGGACTGTCATCACAAAATAGGTTCAATCATCAATCAGCATAAATTCTATTGGGGTTTAGTCCATCAGTTTGTTCCACCTGGAAATAATTGTGTATTTTGAGAAATTATCAGGACCATGACAGGCACTGATGGCTTTTCGTATTTACACCTATTTCTCAGCTCGCTGCATGTGTTCATGCTGGTGATGTCCTGTAAATTATTATAAGTGGTAGCAGTACTGTGAAATCCAGTGTCTCTGACTTCCTGCCTGGCAGGAGAGTGTGTGTCTGCTCCTTGCTCTGGCCCTGCCATGCTGAGCCCACGAGCCCAGGACGGCCTTCACCAGCTGGTACAGTCTCTGCGTCGCCTGCAGGGGGAGAGGAGCAGCCTACAGGGGGAGCTACAGAGTCTGCAAAGGCAGCTGGAGCAGAGGGAAAAAGACAGGCAGCACATAGCCAAGGACTTCCAGCAGGAGGTAATGCTCTCACTAGAACCTGCTTTCTTAAAATAGGAAGTACTGACACAAAGTAACTGCAGCCCTGACAACACGTGATTGAAGCATGAAACAAACATCTTTATCAGGGGCTTGGCCTCATGCACCATCTAGGGACTGATGCATAGCAGTTGTACACAAAGTACATATTATTTAGGTTTAGGCTTATTTGAATTATGACTGAGCTCTGTGCAACTACAGTTAAATACCAATGAGCCATTTCTATTGTGTGAAGCATTTAGTAGAAAAACATAGCAAAAGAAGATATAATGTGGAGTTAAAGAGTTAGAATATAATTGCTCTATTGCTTAATGCTTAAAATGACCATCTAATGGAACTGTGCCGCTACATGGATAACAACATCAATCAATATTGCATGTACAGTATATAGAAGACTCCGTGGGTGCGTCTGTAACAGAGTGCAATGCAGTAAGCATGCTACAGAAATAATATCACACCCTTGAAATCTTGATAATGCAGTATTTTGACTCGACAGAAAATCTAATTTTGTGGCACAGCTGACATCTCTGCTGTTTACAGAGTGGTGCTGTGTGGCTCTGGAACTGTGAATTCAGGCAGGGGCAGAGCAGATCTGAGCACATCACTGCTACGGCGTAGTACTGCCCTGCAACAGAGGAGTTTAGAGGGGGAGAGTGCACCAGGACTCAGTTCAGTGAACATGTTACAGATTTATGTTATTCCCTGAAACCTAGACTGCATAGAATTCTCCAATGGCAGAAGATGTTGTGCAGTGAAATTTTCCACTGCCTACAAAGTGGTGCAGTGTGGCAGAGAGTTAAGATGAGACAATCTTTAAACAGTAGCACAGCAGCCAGGCTAAAGGCCCATACAGCCCAAGCCAGTCAGCCTGTCCCAGGATACAAAACCAAAAACAAAAGTACTCATTCTCTGGTCTGCATAAGCTACACAAGGAAACCCATTCTCCAGTGTCTGTGACTGACCTCACAGTCAGCTTTTTAAGTTCTTTTTGCACTCTAATGAAATGAGTGTGATAGACAGCAGTTTGAAACAATACATTGTTGCCAGGACAACAATGAGTCCTATGAGTACATTATCATAGAGTGATGGTCCTATACAGCTGTAGTTGCACGCATATATCTGTTTCACTGGTGGGGAAAGGTATGGAATATGTTTGTGGTCTTAATAGGATGGTTGTATGATTGAAATCCTGATTTCCTTTAGAAGAAAAGATCGAAATAGTCAAAAGATCAAAAAAGTGATAGAAAGAGTGATCCCAAACAGAAAATGGAAGATAAAATATTTCTAAAGGGGGAAACTTCCAGAGAAGATGAGCCAGAAATCTGTTCAATCTAGTGCCAAGGCATTAAAGCTGTCCACGTGGTGTGTCTCACTGCTCTCATTATGTTTAGATTGAGGACTTGAAGCAGCGTATTGAGGAGAGAGAAGAGGAGCTGACTCGGCTGAGAACAGAGACAGTGAGTCGAATGCCTGTTAAATATGAACTCATGAGTCCTCAGGGGACCTCAGTGTACAGTACCTAAAATAAAAATGTTCCACCCTTTCAGAAGTCTATCTGAAATTTGAGAGCATTTAATGAAGAGATCATGCATTATAGAATTAAGGTTGAAATCAAAGTGCATAAAAAAACTGATTACGGAAACCTCTTGCACGATTCATTCTAAAAAGTACAACCCAATTATTAAACCTAATACTAACTTGCGCTTTCCTTATCTTTATTTTGTATGAGATTGCTTGACAAATTGTCAACTACAATGAAAAATGGCATAATTTAAATATAGATTTTGATCACAGTAAAACAATTATCTTCTGCTTATAACATTCAAATTTGCATTTTTGCTGTTGTTCTTTCGGACTAATTACACTTGCTGTCAATATCAATGACTCATTTGCCTTTACACCTTTTTTTAACTCATGCACTACAAACTCCACAACAAACCAGTAGCTAACCAGCCCAGCATGTCTGCGCTGCAGTGTCCTTAGTTACAGTCTGCAGTTTTTTTTAGGGTTCATGGGATGAAAGTAGGCCAGGAAAAAAATTATGTATGCTGTTATAAACTCATAGAATGGTTGCTTGCCTTATCGAGATACATTTTTCTCATATGAAGTGGTTCTCCTGTCTTCCTGTTTTGAGGGAGTGACGGATTCAGAGAAACGAGCCCTTTATCTCTCAGCTGAGAATGAGAGTCTGAAGCAGAGCCTCAGCATGACTCAGGGCCTCTTACAGCAGCTTTCCCTCCTGCCTGCTCAATCCAGCACTGCGCTCATCAAGGTGAGGAGTCTCTTCTTAAGCTCTTCCACTTCATTTAGATTTAGGTTCTTGATCCCTACAGTGCCTTGCGAAAGTATTCGGCCCCCTTGAACTTTTCAACCTTTTGCCACATTTCAGGCTTCAAACATAAAGATATAAATTTTTTAT